GTGCATTTTGGCCCTAATGCCGAATTTCCGAGACGGTTTGCTTATTCGTCTGCCCAGCTCCCCAATTCTCAGGCCGCAAAAGTTGTACTGGTTTGTTCGAAATGGACATCACTCACTGACAACTTCTTCGCTTTATTGCCGAAAAGCCCTGCATCCCCCTTTCTTCATCGCGATCCCTTTTCCTCCGGTTAGCGGTAGATCCTTGATCCAGGCGTATCTTTTCTGCTGGTCTTGCTCTATTCTGGTTTTCCTCGTGTAAGCTTAGGCAGTTGGCAAAGTTATCGCTAACTCTCTCTTCCTCCAATCTCCTGTCCAATCTCCTCAAGGATGTCAATGGCCTCCCTAATCTTCCGCTTCCTTGTGTTGTCACCGTATGTGGCTCTTCTTTCTGTTGCCTTCACATTGATCTCGTGTCCAGTCTATGCGATGTGTTCCGCTAGTTCTGATCTTTCGATATCCATTTTTCGGCAGAGCCTCTGATGTTCCTTGATTCGTGTGTTTATTTTTCTCGCTGTTAAGCCTATTTATTTCTGTTCACAGGCGCCGCATGATATACAGTATACAGTGACAACACAAGGAAGCGGAAGATTAGGGATGCCATTGACATCCTTTAGGAAAAAAAATATAATGAATAGGAGATTGGAGAAGAAAGAGTTATCGATAACTTTGCCAACTGCCTAAGCTGTCACGAGGAAAACAAGAATAGAGCAAGACCAGCAAAAAAGAAGACGCCTGGATCAAGGAGGAAAAGGGATCGCGATGAAAAAAGTGGGGGACAGGGGTTTTAGGCAATAAGGCGAAGAAGTTGTCAGTGAGTGATGCCCATTTCGAATAAACCAGTACAACTTTAGCGGCCTGGCATTCAGGGCGCTGAGAAGACGGATATGCAAACCGTCACGAAAATTCGGCGTTATGACCAAAATATACTATAAATCCACTTTAGATGCCGCATGCGATCAGAGATAGAAATCCACAGTTTGCTCAGATAACATGGGTTTAATCAAGGAGAGGACCCGTGAAGGGAAGTCCTGATATCTGTAAGCATAGAAATCACAATCTAGGCACTCTGTTCGGTGAAGCGGCAGATTACGTGCATCTAGAGCCTTGAGAAATAGCACCTGGAGTGAAATGCACACTGGGACTCGAACCGAGTGAAATCGGTCAACCAGAAAGATAAGGGATGGATCTACTAGACAATGAGGGGATTCGGATTGGAGGCCCGAGTCGAATGAGCCGATCGAAAAAGAGGGGTCGCGTTGAATAGCAAGTGTGATGCGGCCAGGCTAGATTTGCCAAAAAAGGGCACATATTTTGACGAATGGAATGTAGACAAGTGAGAAGTTATGATAGGGCGGCAATGAGATAAGAATGTAAGAGTAGATAGATAGGCCATGACAGAAAGAGGAGTGATAGTGTAACCGTTTTCGGCAGAACGTTTGTCG